ACAAATGAAAACACCAACACTTCTTTCAATGTTGTGTTTGTGAAGTGCATTACAAACCTATCACCCCCACAAATAGACACAAGTACTAAAAGTGCTAATAGTGGCAATGGTAGAGATTCAAAGAAGTAGGTTGTTCATAAAACTCAAGCCAATCATGATGTGTGTTATACTTGTGGAGAACATGGTCATCATAGTAAACATTGCATGAAAAATAGGAATGTCTTGAACAAGAAACTTCTGCATCTAGCAAATCAATCCAAAGTCTTGAATTCTCAAGTATTAAATTTTTCTACGCTTTTGAAAAGGTCATATGTGTCCAATCAACATCATGCATGCATGTTAAGGTTTGAAGTATAAGTGGATGAGTGAAAGGTCTAGGTGTTGAGCAAGAGAAACTGAATCTGATCAATTTTCAGGACTGAGAAGTTTCAAGAGCTGCTTGAGTGACCTTATCATCACTTGAGCAACCTTGCTTATAGTTAGACGACCAGAGTTTTATAAATAGGATTATGCACGTATCTTTGTATTCCAAACCCTTTTATTCACATCCCAAGCCTCCATATACCCTAATCTTAGCCTCTAAAACTCTTCCTAATACCTTCTTTACAAATCTTAGATTGATTCTAGATAGATTGCGAGGGTGATTGTCGAGATGGCCCCAAGAAAAGAGGAAAGGCTAGGGTTAAGGATGTTTGTTGTTCTATTGAGTAGAACTTTGATGAAGCTACTCGGTTAAGTACATAGGAGTTCACAAAGAGATTCAGAAGAGAATTCTCTCATAGACCAGTGTTGATCAAACGGGGAACTACCACCACAGAGGTACCTACTTCTCTTTTTACAAATTTGACAAACCGTGGATGGGCTTGGATGGTCCATGAGCCTGTGACTTCTACTGATAGCATTGTGAGGGAGTTTTATGCACATATTCAAATTGCTAATCCCGATTCTCTTATTGATCACTTCGTCATATATATTAGAGGTATTGTGTTTACTTTTTCTACAAAGCTCCTTGCAACCACACTGGATCTACCTAGGGTTGATAATAATTACCCTAGTGCTAAACCGGTTGAACTATTGCCTCCTCTCCATGTGATTGCTACTGAATTTTATGGTAATGATCATCCTGAACACTAGGTCAAACAAAACTACTTTCAAAAATCCTTCATCCCAGAGTGCAAGATACTTAATCTTGTGGCAAATTACAATATTGACCCAAATACCCATGTTTCTAACTTTCCTGCTCCTTGAGCTTAGATGCTTTATTCCATAGGTAAATGGATTAGTCTTGTTTTGTGTATGTTGATATCTGGGTATATACGTAGAGCCTTTTACACGGTCAAGTGACAGATCTATTGCCGTTGGATCATTAATCACTTGTATCTGCCAAGGGAAGAGTGTTTTAGTTCTAGGGAGTGACTAGTTGCAAAACACTATGAGAGCCTCAAATAAGAGTTTCGTGAAATTGAGTAAGGCTTAGGGAGACTACATTGAGGAGAGATGAGAAGCAATAGGAGATTCACATGTGATTCATGTGACTAGTACGTCTAGGACAACACCTCCTGAGTTTGGCTTCAAGATCTTTACAACTACAATGGCATCACTTGCTGATATGATGGCCAGGGTTGAGCACATGATGACAAAGCATTATCGCCTGACTTCTCAGAAATTAGATACGTTGATGGCAAGATAGTGAGCCTTGAGGAGACCCAATAGACAATGATGAGAACTATCGTACGTAGAGTGGGACGACTTAGGAGGTTGTTGAAAAGGAAGCAGATTGCCAGAGATCTAGTGCCAGATGAAATGGATTCAGACATAGAGATGCCCCGAAGCAACAGAGGAGATAGTGGAGATGCAACCATTTGAGCTATGACTTTAGAGACATAGTATTAGGTTATATGTAAACATGAGATTGTTTTATTTATTCATGGCCTGTAATAAAGTACTTTGTTTATTTTCCTTTGTTTAGCTCTTATTTGTTGTTGTTGTGACATACTCTTGATCACATGCTTGATTGATTATCATATTTGATCATTGAATTATATGTCTTGTTTGTCTCTTACTTAGTCTATATGCATGGGTTAGCTAGTTGTTATGCATTCATACCTTCTTGTTATTCCATCTCATGGTTGTTATGGGTCGTTATTTCATTGAGATATGTGAAAAATAAGATAAGAATATGTTAGGTGACTTGATTATGTACTGTGCTTGTTGCTTGTTTTCATTGGGTTGGCATTTGTGACAAAAAAATAGGGAGAATATTTTTGGTACATATGAGAGTAATTGAGGAGATTTGCTCTTTACAAGGTTAGATATGTTGCATATGAACATAGAAAGGGGGAGTTTGTAGTTCAAATACTCAGGAGGAGTAAATTTGCAAACTTGACATGATGTCACATTTTTTTTTTCACTTGTTATTTTACTTGTGAACACCAACTAAGGGGGATAACTTATTATGTTTTGAATTGATAAATCAATTGGTCCTCAAGCATATGAGGCAAATTAGTTTGAACATGTTACATATTTGCACTTGCATTATGTATAGATATTTATGCTTCTCTTGGTGCTTTTCATACCTATGATTACGCGATTTATTTATCTAACATATGATGTGTTTCACGAGGTTTTGGTTTGAGTGGTGATGTGCAGGTTTATGATCTTCAATCTTTATCCAAAGATATTGATCCTTATACTAGATAGAGATTAGGATGTATACATGACAACATGAGTATTGAAATTCAATTTACAATTCTTTTGTTCAATGGTTTAGGTTTGTAATCTTTATTTCAAATTTGTATGTTTTGTCAAAAAATTGCCAAAAGGGGGATATTGTTAGATCATGTGTTTGTAGTTAGTTAATTTCGTGGTAATTGTTAGATCATTGTAAAATCTCAAGCATTTTCATAGTCATGATATTATCAAGTTCAAGATTCAAAAACATCATTAAAAAGAGAAGATCAAACATGAAAGCTATATCATTCAACCTCCATATGCACTTTCATGCTTAGGACAAATGTAATGACACAGACACCTAAGATGAACTCTTAGTTATTTTAACTTAGGTTAATTAGGATGAAAAGGGAATTAGAAGTGATCTGATTATGACTCCTAAGTGATTTTAAAACAAAAAAGAATTTATAAACCATTTATGAGTTTTGAAAATATAGTTTGAGTTACAATTGGACTTCTCTTTGAGCAACACCCTTAAGTACTCAAGAGGTCAAATTTTTGCATAGTTTGACTTACCAACCTATAGGACCGACCAATACTTGCTATCCTTCGCTAAAGAAGTATCTTGATGACTTAGGATAAAAAAAAAAAGGTTGTGGGAGATCAAAACAAGGCTCACTCTATGAGCAGGCTTGAACGGTTCCAAGGTCACTTGAGTGATGCCGATTTTCAAGCTATATTGAAAAATTTTGGAAAAAAAAATGCATTTGATTTGGAGTGTATTATTCTTTCTTAATGAGCATGAGATTTTCAATTAATGCGCTTGAATTTTGAGTCAGTTGCATAATAGCACACTACATGAGTTTTTTCTATGATTAAGTACAATGTTCGTGTTTTCATTTGAAACTCACCCTATGTGCACCATGAGTATACAAATTTTTGTGGTTTATTGAATGAGATTCATATCTTAAAAGGCTTGACATACATAGTGGACATGAATGTATTACCCTTGTGAGTTTTGTGGCATTCCTTGTTGAAGGTTTGAAATAAATTTACTCAATTGACAATTTTTTCAAATTCAATATCTTTCAATAATCTTATTATTTTTGTTTTGGTTAGTGTAAAGGAGGTAGTTAGTTAACTATATCTCCATGCAAAAGAGTACCTAGCCACACATTTTTGGGCAATGATCTTAGGCCATCATTGAATTAAGTTAAGCCTTAACATATTCCTTATTGCCATTGTCTGTACTAATTGTGATTGAGTTTTATTGCAAATTTCATTTCTTAAGCCACATGATTTACCAAACCAAGCATAAATGTGGTTAACTTACCTTGGTTATCCCGAGACTACTATTGTTTACAATTTGGAAACTGAATGGTGGTTATAAGAAAGAAGAGAAAAAAAAATAGTGAAAGAAAGGTGGATGATGAGTATTGAGCTTATTGTTCACATTCAAAAGCAAGGAAAGAAAGAAAAAAGAATAAAAAAAGGAGAAAAAGAAAAGGAAAAGGAAAAAAATTTGTGAAAAGGCAATGAAAAAGGGGGAAAGATAGATAAATGAATGTGGTGAGCTAATTGCAAATGATGAGATGTGGTTGGTAAAGTCATATATGCAGGATAACTCCTTTTTGAATCCCTATTTCCCTTCGTTTCTTTAGCCTTCAGTCAAGGCTACATTACAACCAAATTAAAGTCCTTTTTTATCCTAAGAAATGGTGGTGAGTGTATGTACTGAATTATGCTAATAGATAGATCAACTGTATTATTTTCATTTGCCCTAGCATTCATTTCATGTGATTATGTCAAAGTCGTTTCATTTGTATAATTGTTCGTCATTTCCACATTATATGTGAGCTATGCTTTGTTTTGAATTATAAGAATCTGTACCATATATAGACAATGAGTGAAACATCATTATAATCGGTTTTCCTTTATTTTGAGAGAAAATCTTTGGTGAGTTTTGCATCAAAGCTAAAATTAGATAGCTAACGTAGATGTGGGTTTTATTTGATAAATCTCTTAAATTGTACACTCATTTCACACACTCATGAGTCTCAAGTGGAAGTGGGGAAGTCAATACTTTTTCAGAGCATTTAAATCTAAGTGGCAGCTTTTGTATAAATGCCTTGGGTGGAGAGGGAATTTTTTTTAAAATCTTATTGTTGATTAAGATATTATAATATGTTCTAAGTTTAGAAGGCGGTCGAAAGAAGTTTCTAGATACCTTTATTGGAAACCTTCCAGAGAGATAACTCGTCTATTAGGGGTGACCTAGGGTTTTAAAGGCTTATTGTATTTGTTAAATACAATCCTGTATCTTATGAAAGCGGTGTTTAGGTGTGTTAGTGTTGGAATTGAGTTAGAAGATCATGGAAAGCAAATGGAAGAAGAGGATTGGAATCCGGAGACGAAAAGCAAACATAAAAGAGCTGCTAGAACTGGTACAACAAGAACCGGTTTTTTAGAGTCCAGAGAGCTTAGAACTAATTCTACCATGCTAGTACTAGTTTTACGATGTCCGGGGAGCTTGGAACTGGTTCTAACGTGTTGGTACTGGTTCTACCACCAGCAGAAAGCTTAGATCCTGTCCTTCACACTAATTCGGTTCATGACGTCCCGGGTTTTTATTTCTTGGCCGAGAAGCTACTTCCATCGACTTGCACAACATTCATGTGAGCGCTTCCATTGGACGACACTGAAGGGGGAAATTCTTTGAAAAAACATTCACCACCCATGCCACTCACCTTATCCAATGAGTAGGAAGGATGGAGATGCCACTATATATACATACTCGTATAGATATTGAGGAGGGAGGCTTAGTTTTGATTTCTAGTTGTGAGTTTTGCTTAAGCTTTTTACATTGTAAGAATTTTGTTGGGTTATGGAGAAGACAATCGGCAGGATTTTAATTTAATTTTCAAAAGCTCTATTTGTATGATTTTTTTTTGGACGTAGTTATTTGAAGCTAATCTAGTGGAGAGAACTTCTTTCCATCTTCTTGTTCATTTTCATTAGTTTTACATGTGGTTAAGTTTTGACTTGATGAGTTTTACTTGCGGCTAAGTTTTGGCGCAATCTGAGGGATTTCCGAGTGATTCTCTACTGATTCATCTGTAATCAATCCATAGTGTTGGTTCATCCGTAATCAATCCATAGTGATTCTCTACTGATTTCTGATTGATTGAATGCTTTGTAGAAGGGACAAACCAACTTTAAAAATTAGTTTTTAAGTGACACTTTGATTTTTTGTGGACGATTCGTATGGCACGAGTAATACTTGAAAATCATTATACATCTGAATGGTTATCACTCTATCTTCCATTCCCTATCTTTAATGCTAAGTATTATATAAACTTGGTTTTTGTTGAATATTTTTCGTTCGAGCAAGTTTGAATACAGCTTAGAATGGGTTAAATTTGAGAACCTAGATGTTTGATTATGGTGAGTTAATTCCTGAGGATTAGCTGACTGTTTTCTTCTTGATTTTAATACACTAGAATTAATTCCTACATTTTTATACAAATCAAAGGATTTTTACTTTTTGTTGCACACACATCACCAATAGGATTGCCTTTGTTCCTTGAAGAGGCGACCTCGGATTTCTAAGTTACTACATTGCACAACTTTCTTATGCTTGGAAAATACATTACAACATTTTGAATAGGGTTGAACATATATCATTGGATAGCAAATAAAAGAGAGATTGTGGCAGACAAGCACCCCCCTCTAAGTCTAGTGTCTTAGTCTTCACATGTATAATCGTGAGGAAAGATCCATATCGAGTTTCCCTTCCTAAAATAACACCATTGAAGCACCTCGTGTTCACCTTAATATCACTTTCCAGGAACTGTGTTGCTGCTTGCTTGAATTCTTAAACTTTGGCCATCCAAAGCTTCACGTCATCTCGAATTATTCTCCACTCCTTATTGTTGCATCAATGGAGTTCTGCACCCTTTTTCTTTGGCTTTATAATTCTTCCACTTTGGTTTTCAGTTCTCCAATGTTTTTCTTGTAATGAATGAGATAGTTGAACTGACGCACGATTGACAACATTGTATAATTTACAATTTTATCAAGAATGGAAGAAATCACAACTTCTCCAGCCATGTCCAAGGAGAATTATTTGAAGAAAAAATGGATGCAAGCTGCAGAATGAAAAAAAACCTCTCAATATCAAATTTAATATTTACCAGAAAATCACAAGATTGAAGTCAGGCTACATAAATGTCCTAGGAGACTTAATCACTTTTTTTTTTTCAGTTTAGCTTAGAGCTGTTTACACACTATGTGTTGTTAAAATTAGATTATGAATAATGGATGTCCATCTCAAAATACACATCGTGGACATATTTATAAGGGGTTGACAATCAAGCTATGTCGTTTGGTATTCAGATTGTATTATTTTAGATTTATATCTCGTATCAATTGACCCTAATCCGAATTATTTAATAAATCATGTTGGATGTTTGTACACTAATTCGACCTTTTACTATCATTTTGTGTTTTGATTTGACATACATAATCCTGTGAATCAAGAACTTGGGACCAGGATGTCATCCTCTCTAAATGAAATCCACTACCCATGTCTCCCATAAGCAAAAAAAAAAAAGAAGCAATCTATGCATGTAGTAGGAAAATTAAGTAAAAATTATGTAATTTTGTGGGATTTATGCAATAGGTCATAAAAGAATGGAAAAAAAAAACAAATATTTTTTGTTAAACAAGTTTGTCGTGTTAAACTCGAGTTATTTATATCAGTGATTACCTAACATGTCTATTATCCATGTTAACAGGTCATATTATTTTTGAGTTCTTATTCAAAATTAGTCAGTACCAATCCACTAATTTCATGTTGGATTCGGATTGGGTAAAAAATGGCATTAGTTCATACTTCTGAAACTTTTTCACATAAATTACCAAAGAAAATTACAAAAATTATATCAAACTATCAAACAGCATCGTTTACTAAACTGAGACACTTGTTCAAATGACAACAAAGCTCTAGCCATTTTATTCCATAAAGTTTCGTAATCCAAACAATAGAACTTGATGGTGGAAACTAACGTGTATGAGCAAAAGATTAAAATTATGTCTTATAGTGCAAGTATGAAAATGAAAGGGATATCTTGGGACTGGGATGATTGACACAGGAAAAATATAGTGGTTCACCAGTTCAGGAGCTCGGCTAATCCACTCTTCAATGAAGACTCTTGCTCCTTATATTTCAATATAGAATATAAGGTTACAGTTGCTTCTTTATGCCTCTGGGGTTCTCTCTCTTCACTAGAGGTGTTGCTTAATATTTATAGGGCTGTTCCTAGATTGGTGGGATCTGCACCGAGATCTTTGCTATTCATCTGAGTGATTCTCCATAATTTTTGGTGAATATCTTGGTTGGTTGAGTATCTTGTGCCTTGAATATTCCTCTTGGCCAACTGTGGGATCCTTGCTAATATCCAGCTGTCATCATATGGTCCCCAGCTGTTGCCTTAGTTGTGGGGAGCTCTGACTTTGATCCGCCGAGCTCCGAAAAACATGCCTGACCTCTCTGGCCAAGCTCCTTGTCTGAGCTCACACTTAGGAATTATTTAGAGTATCATCAGTTTGGAGTATTATCAGTTGCCCCCTAGCTCTTGGGCAAGCTGGCTTGGGCAAGAGCTGTTCTTCAATTAATTAAAAAATAGAGGACCTCCCCTTAATGACCTCGAGGCACGTGCAAGCAAATTGACTGTTACCAGTAATCATTTCCCTCCTTGTTTCTTGCGTTTGTTACCCACTTCGAAGCCCCTAGTACCATTAGTTTTAAATGCCTCTGATTCAGCATTTACTTCTTCACTCTTCAAATTCTCTTTGGCTTTCCTTCTCTTCTCTTCTACGTCTTCATCTTCCCCAATTCGCTACAGCTCCTAGGGTTTTAACCAGAGAGACAATTTTCCCAAATTGACCCGAAGGCTTTAACGAGGTTTGCCTCTTCGTTCTTCACTTCGAAAGATTAGGTACGTTTTCTTGCCCTTCTCCGTGTTTCTTCGCCCTAGACCCCTCAGATTTGAGGTGGTTATTGCATTTTTGGACCTTTCGATTTTGCTATTTTAAGAACCAAGGCCAGTCTCTGTATCTCATTCCCCTCTTCTTAGACCCTTATTTGACCGCTAGGGTTGTCTTTATTAGCAGTTGTTGTGTTGCCCCCCAGGCTCTTAGAGAATGTTACGCAAACATTCATCCCCTTTATCGCACCTTTAGACTCCCTTTTTCTTGCCCAACTATGTCTACTTCTTTTGGAGCAACACCCTCCTCAGTTTCCCTTCTAGGTGATAGGTATGTTGAGGAAGATGTTGATTTAGGCGATGTGGGCATGGAAATTGATAATTTTCCTAGTGTGGACATTGTTGATGTTGGGGTAAAAACTGAGGAAACTCCCTCAACCTCCTCCCCTGTGCTCACAAAACTCGACAAGGGTAAAGGCAAAGCGAGTGGCATAGGGGTCTCTACTGCAGGCGTCGGGGTTGCTTTCAGAAATGCAGAGCTCGTGAGCCCTAGCGAGCTTACCCCTCCTCTTATGAAGGTTCTTAGTGCTCGCTTTAGTTTTCCTCCAAGAGTCCAGTTTTGGTGTCCTGATGAGTTCACTCCATATGTCTCTCAAGTCCACAAGAAGGTCTGCTTCTTTGTGCCTGCTTTCGATAATGATCTTCGCTTTCCTTTACGCCCCTTTATCAAAGGCGTTCTTCAACAGTTCAATGTTTGCCCTTCCCAGCTCTCCCCTAACTTCTAGGGTGTCCTAGTAGGTCTGCTTGTTTTCTTTAAGAACCATAAGCTTGGGGTCTCCATCGTTTCTCTTCTCATAGAACTATTTAACGTTAAACAAATTTCCTCAGATGATTTTCTTTATATCTCCAAACGAACAAAGGCTAAACTGGTTATTTCTGACCTCCCGAGATCCCACAAAGGGTTGGAAGAAGCTCTTCTTCTACGCGGGGGGTACGCAGTGGGAGTTCAATCCAACAGATAAAATAGACACTCTAACTATCCCTAGGGCTTGGTCTGCCCCGGATAACTTGGGTAAGTCTCTGCCCAAGCCAGACTAGGATCTGATTTGGTGGTCTTTATTGACTTTGCTCTGCTTCCATTGTTTACCAGGTGTTCGTCCCGAGCTTAGTGCTGAGGAGGAGTGGATACTGCTGAAATTGGAGAAGTGTGATTCAGAAAAATACTCTGAGCTCATCAAGCCTTGGGTTCTTGTAGAGCACGGGTTCTACCTTCCCGAGGTGATGATAGAAACCCCTGTCCCAATCTCCATTATTAGAACTGAGGAGATAGCTGGTGGTGCTTCCTTTCCTTATTCTTAGCTTCTTTCTTTCCCATTTTAAAAGAAAATGCTCACCTATTTTTAGGCTTTTCCAGGTTCTTCCTCGATGGAGCCTATCCCAGTTGAACTCCAAGCCAAGGTTTCCCAAATGATGAAGACCAGGAGTGGTAACAAACGCAAGTAAGGATTTGGCAATGGCTCCACCCCTCTACCCAAAGTACCAAAGATGAGTGTGCCACTGGCTCCTCCCGCTTCAACTACCAACGATCCTTCTCCCT